GTAGCCTTGGCTGTCCTGAACTTGCCCTGTAGAATAGAATGGCCTTGAACTCACAGAGATCTGCCTGCCTCTGCCTCCCTGAGTGCTGGGATTACAAGCATGCGCCACCATGCCTGGCATAAGATTGAATTTTTTAATCAGGTGAACCAGACCTCAAGAAAATCCAGATTCCAGCTAAGGAGAAAACCATAATCATTTATAAGTCTAGATTTTTTTGTTTGTTTGTTTGCTCATTTTCTGGTAGTCTGGCTTTTTACAACTTGTTAGGGACCTTCTCCTAAGAGTCTGGCCCCGAGGATTAATAACATTTGTACTGTCTTTTCTGCAATCTCTTTTAAAGAAACCAGAACTGCTATTTCTTAAGCCATAAATGAGTTTCAATGAACTATTAATTAGTGATGAACAAAAGAGGCAAGGAAATATCTCACTGTTTTCTGACTTGGATTGGTGAAACACACTATAGTCCCAAGTCACAGAAGTAGGCATCTGTGGATCTTTATATCCACACAGTAGTAGCCAACTCTAATGGAGTAGGCAAGGATCTTTATATCCACACAGTAGTAGCCAACTCTAATGGAGTAGGCAATGAACTTATAAATGAAAAGGCAATGACATCCAGAACATAGGTTCTGAGCACAAGAGATACACAGTTTTGTTTTGTTTTTTTTTTTTCTTCTGAGTCCCAGATGAGCCCCAGCAGTGACTTCCAATAAGCTATTTATTGTCTTTGCCGAAAGTTCTGTGATCACTGAGACCAAGCCTTCTACTGGAAAAGTAATCCTCTGGCCTTTGAAAAAAATTATACACATATGAGTTATTCTCAAGACATGGCTAGAAGAAAATAAATGGCTTTTTTTCCCTTTTTTACTCTAAAGACTAGTTTAAGTGAGGACACTATGATATCAACTAAGAGGTACTGGGAGGGGAAAATGGGCTAGCATTTCCTAGTGGAGTCCACTAATTTTCTGATTAGGAACATGCTAAACTGGCTAACTCTACAACCACAACATACTTTTATAATACACAGTATGACTAGAGACTTGACCAGCATAGGTCTGCTTAGAATTAAAGTATACGACTGCATATGGTGAGTTTTAAAGCATGTTTTAAAACAGATTTAACCAAAGCATACAGCACGATACTTCTAGAATAGCCACATCACAACCACCAATAAAGAGTTTGGCTTCTAATCGGCCTGCCATATGCTAATATTTGTAAAGCGCTATTAAATAACTTGAATAATAAAACAAAAACAACAACAACAACAAAAAAAAACAAAGACATTTTCTTTCGGTAGACACAGCTGAAAGCCATGATGCCTCTGAGCAGTTGGTAAAAATCATGCCAATCTGCCAGGCTGTTGCTTGCTTCTAAATATAAGCCTCATGGCTAAGAAAGATTTCCTAAGGATGCTAACCTAGAATTGAAGTTCTCAAACAGATATAAAGTAACTCTGGTTTCCTCCCAAAGTATGCACCTTTTAGGAGGTCCAAGACAATGGAAATGAACAAAAGGATTGCAAGGATTTGAGAACAGTGGTGGAGGACTCTTGAAAAGTATACGATGTTGAGTAACTCCTGCAGTTACCTAGCCTGGAAAGTCCATGGCCAGAGGCAAATTCTGTAGAGTGGTTGGCCTGGAATGGTCTTGGGCAGGAATTCTTAACTTTGGCACTAGTTATGTGCTGAGGCATTCTGGAGGATGCCTAACAACATCCCTGGCCTCTACCCATTAGATGCTGGTAGCAGCCTATGACAACCAAATGTCTCCAGACATTGTCAAATGTGTCCTGGGGGACGAAACCGTCTTTGGCTGAGAAGTGCTGCTGTAGAGGCAGCTCACTTAAGCCTCTTGGCACGGGGCACTCTCTTCAGGTCTTAGGTTCTGGAGAGAGTCCTATACTTCAGTCAAGACAGAAACAAAGATCAGTTAGGTTTACTTAGAACTTCAGAGAAGAAAAAGAGGATTGATAGAGAAGTGAAAATGGAAAAACAGTGAAACCAAGGTTCTTTTCTAAAGTATATCAGCAATAACTTCCTAACATAAAGTACATCCTAAGGACACAACTTTGGTGTCCTTTAGGATGTCAGGGCAGATAACAGAACAAGGGTGCCGTCAATTCCCCCTCCTAAAGAAAATGTGGGGGTTTTAATACTTTCAGTCAACTCCTTCCTGCCATGGATGACATCTTTTTGAGGCCAATGAATGACCAACCGGAGGGGGAAGTGTTGGTGAAAAGCTAAGAGAGGGCTCATTAGATCTGAGAGGAAATGTTACTGCCCCCAACTGTGAGCAGAAAGAGAATGAATGGGATTGTAGATTCACTTACAGCTTATTGAGGATCAAGGGAAAGTAAGAATAGACAAGAGCTAAGAGGATAAAAGAGCTAGCTCAGAAACACTAGTTGAAAACATTGTAGCTATTTTCTGGCTCAAATCTGGGAATGTAGGAAAAGTAAGTATTGACTTCATCAGTTAAGATTAGTTTGCTCTAGGTAGAAGGCAATTATTCTAGCCCTTCTTTAAAGAACCATCATGAATATAAATGTTCTGCAAACATCTGAGATCCCAGTGTTAGCAAAGATGATAACATGGGAAACCAGCCCCTTGGTGATGACAGCCACGAATGCCACAGTATGGCAATGGGACCTCGCAGTTCTTAAGCACACAGCACAGTGAGAAGTCTTTCCAGAGGAAACAAAATGTAGTTTCTGGTTTGCAGGGGGCAAGGGGCAAGGGGATACAAAGTACAGATCTAGTATGAAAACGAACAGTTAAATATACACCTTTTTAGTGTCACTATATCCAGGCAAAAACTGCTGAGGGTCTACCTCACTAGGATAACCAAAGAGTTGCCTGGGAATAGCCGGAATTCAGAGCTACCCAAACAGTACTAAACTGGTAACAGAAACAAGATAGGAAAAGAACTCAAGAGCATGCAAAATGAATCAAATTGTTTCCATGATAGTACCCAGTTGAGTTTCATTTTAGTGCCTATTATACTTAGTAAAATTAAATAAAAAGCACCTTAAAATGACCTCTATATATAATCAATACACATCATTATAGTATTTATATAAATATGCAATATGCACACAATTTAAGCTTCAAAGAATCTAAGACATTTATAATCTTCATAATCATCAGTGCTATGATTCTCAAAATGTCAGGGAAGGGTTAAGAGTAACTCAACATAGTTCAGTGACAGCTGACTTTATTTGGGGACTGACACTCTCAGAATTCTGGAACAATTAGTAAATACTGAAAAGTTACCTCTCTGAGGGATGGGAGTGATCTCTAAAAGTCTTATTGCTAAGAGACTACTTTCAAAACTCTACGACTATTGATAGATGATGGTGTTGAGGTGGGTTTTTTTTTATTTTTATTTTTTTTTATTTTTTTGTTTTTGTTTTTGTTTTTTGTCAAAGATGTTCCAGAGACAGAGGTCTGGCTTGCTAACCAGAGGCCTTGATGATACTTGATACTAACTCGGGAGTTGAAAGTGATCAAATGAGGGAAGAATAAGTCCTGTTCTGATGGATGGAGTGAATGTATATACAGGTGTACATGATGACCTTGATATAAATGGATAGTCCCAGGAAGGAAAAAAGGATATAGCAATTTTCTCTACATCTGGAATTGCTTCAGGAGCCTTTAAAATATATTAGAAGAGCAGCAACAACAACAACAACAAAAAAGCATTTAGAAGAAGAAATACCATACACGTGGCTCATATCCCACCTGGAGTCAAGAGGCTCCAGGAGGGCGGACAGCATTCAGGAGCAGAGAGCTGGTTTGCAAGCTCCACAGACAGGTGCCCCTCATAACCTCACAACAAGGAATGTTCACTGGCAAATCTTTGGTCTACACTCTTAACACTAATGCTAAGAGCACATTCTCTGTAAAGACCCATGAGTGCCACTTCTGCCTTTTCTCATTGTGCGTGTTAATGTCCCTGGACACAAACGAGAGCCAAGTGTCTGAGGACAGAAGTGAGGCCTGCTAGGATCCTTACTGGCTTCTCCAACCCTCTTCTCCTATGGGCCTGGAAAGAGATGCTGCACTTGTCTGCTACCAAGGATCATGTCTAGAGGCAACTGCTGGGACCAAAAAGTTGAGCAAAGTTCATACTGTTACAGTCACATGTAGCCACAATTCAACTCCCTTTATTATAAGTATAATACTCACTTCATATCACAAAAGTATAAAAATATGGCAGATAGTGTCATAACGATACTTTCTTTAAATGAATATATTTATAAAACAGGCAGTTATTTACCATATATATTTATATATATAGAATAAAATACTCCTGATGCAATATATAAATGTTACTGTTTAGTTTTTATAGAAACTACCATAGCTGTCCCACTGCTTCACAATGTTCCAAACAGCTCAAAATAACTTTAATTTTAACGTAAAAGGTATGATTATAACAGTACAATATTAATTATAAATAAATGTTACAAATCCTATCAAATATGGAAGCTTAGAAAACAATTTAAGACATACAGTTCATCTGCTAACCCTTCAAAGGGATACTCCTAGATTACAATAAACCCCACATTTAGTCTAGTCAAAAAAAATGTGGTAAGGGCATCGGTCAACATGAATTTTTCTATCCCTTGCTGCCAGGACGTACCCCGGCTTCCCCAAGTTCAACAAAGATTGCACTAAAGCTGGAATGTAATGGGGAGAAACTGGCAAGAATTTCTTCTTCCTCAATGGCACACTCTATCCATTCTCACACAAGACCTGTGGGGAGTGCTGGTCCCTAAGGAACTCCCGTGGCTCTAAGATCCCTGACTAGCATTTGTGGCTGCGAGGAGCCAGGTGGCCCCCCTCACACACAATATTGCACACACCTTCATAAAGCTGAAAATACTGGCTTACTACCCTGGCCCAACCCATTTCCCAACCCACCCTGAACCTTCCCCTCCCAACTGGCTTGTCTTCCCCCACCCCCCCCACCCCAACACACATCCTCCATCCCAGCTTAAATTACAAGGCTGTCTCTTTTAAATCATTCAGATTTGGCATTCGTGAACGATTTGTTCTGTTATAAGGGTGCCCATTTGGCCCACTCTTGGCACCCAGCTGTTCAGAATAGGAAGGTCCCTCTGTGGCACTCCTGGTCACAGAGGACACATGCCAGCCAGGATCCATCTGACCTGGCAGCTGAAGGGCTGGTCTGCCCTTTGGGGTAGTTTCCTGCCGGATGTTGCTGCTCCCACCAGAGGGTTGACTCAGGGGGTGAATCCGCATTTCTGAGAAGGAATTTTTGGTTTGTTGAGTTGTTAAGGGCTGGAAGCGAGGATCTGTAGAAGCCGGGTGATTGGTCGATGAAGAGAGATGCAACAACTTGCGAAGGGATTTTAGTGGTTGACTCTGAAAGTAAGATTAAGATGTGCACAATTTAATTTAATTTAATTTAGAGTAGATGGGAGAGATGGAAAGACATATAGTTGGTCGCAAAGCAAGCCTCAACAGAGACAAGAAGATTGAAATAATCCTTTTTATCCTATCTGACCACCATGGACTAAAGCTTGGACCTCAGCAACAGAAATAGCAAACAGCCTACACACACATGGAAACTGAACAACTTGCTACTCAATGACAGCTGGCTCAGAGGAGAAATGAAATAAATTTAAGACATTCTAGAACTCAATGAAAATGAAGGCACAACATACCCAAACTTATGGGACATAAAGAAGCAGTGCTAAGAGGAAAGTTCATAGCACTAAGGGCCTCTCCAACTCTTGATCTCTCTGCTCCTTGCCTTTATGTAGACCAGGCTGGCCTGGATTTCTGTGTATAGCCCAAGATAGTTTCAAATTTTTCATATTCCTGCTTCAAACTCCCAAGTGCTATAATCACTCCAAGTGATGATAGGTGGGTGGTATCATTCTTGACTACTTTTTCATTTTTATTAAAATGATAAATGAGTCTTTTCTAGTGAATTTTATAAAATTATCAAGCAATCATAATAATCCAGAATCAGCTGGAGATATGACGTTACTAGAAAAGGGCTCCTTAGCATCACACTCTCGGAACTTTGTGTTTCTAGTTTGAATAAGCATGCAAAAAGGAGGATATCTGGTTCTCTATGACGCCTTTACCCTCAGAATAGATTATGCTATCAGTACAAAATATAAATGGCCAGGGAAAGAGAATGGCAATTTTGGGGAACTCCTGTTCATAACTCCAAGTAATAGATTATAGTGAAACAAGTCAGATCTCTACTCCTAGCATGTGGGGACATAAAGGCAGGAGGATTGTTAGTTCCAGACCCATTTGGGTTACACAGCAAATTGCAGGCTAAACTGGACTAACTGGTAAAATGCTTTAAGGAAAAAAAAAAAAGAATAAAACAGAAAACCTATAGAAAGTAGAGCCACTGCTTCTAAATCCCAAAAATTTGGTTAGAATAAACATGGTAGATTATATCACTATATTTATTTATTTTTAAGGGTTTTAAATATAATTAATTACAGTTTATTCACTTTGTATCTCAGCTGTAGTGCCCTCCTTTATTCCCTCCCAATCCCACTTTCCCTCCCTCTTCTCCTCCCATGCCCCTCCCCAAGACCCCTTATAGGGGAGGTCCTCCTCCCCTTCCCTCTGACCCTAGACTATCAGGTCTAATCAGGACTGGCTGCTTTGTCTTTCTCTGTGGCCTAACAAGGCTGCCCTCCCCTCAGGGGTAGGTGATCAAAGAGCTAGCCACTGAGTTCATGTTAGAGGCAGTCCCTGTTCCCATTACTTGGGAATCCATTTGGACACTAAGCTGCCATGGGCTGCATCTGTGCAGGGGTTCTAGGTTATCTCCATGCATGGTACTTGGTTGGAGTATCAGTCTCAGAAAAGACCCTTGTGCCCAGATATTTTGGTTCTGTTGCTCTCCTTGTGGAGCTCTTGTCCTCTCCAGGTCTTATTAACTCTCCCTTCCCTTCATAAGATTCTCTGCACTCTGCCCAAAGTTTGGTTATGAGTCTCAGCATCTGCTTTGATACCTTGCTGGGTAGAGTCTTTCTCAGGCCCTCTGTGGTAGGCTCCTGTCCTGTTCCCTGTTTTCTCCCTCTTCCCATGTCCATCCCATTTCCCTTTCTGAATGAGTCACTATATTTATTATGGGGTATTAAAGAAATACAATATGGAAACATTTCCAATGAGAGTAACTGTTTAAAACAGATACTTTAGTTACTTGAGAAAAATTAGTAATGCTCTCCATTATGGCAGGTAAAAATAACCCCATATTACTGTATAATACGCAGTTCCTAATAAAAGTGTTTGCCTCTCTTTATAAAAAAGTTTGAATTTCAGAAGTTAAAATATTCTTTTAACAAAGTTTCTACTATCTGGCTTTCAAGGCCCAATTTATATGCTAGCATCTCTCAGGTAACCTTAATCTTTTCACAATATGGATTCATTCTTATCAATATTTCATAGCATACTTACTGTTTTCTAAGATCTTCATGAATCTTTGTCTCCTGAGCTGTCACCTACTCCAGGCTAGGACTATTTCTTCTTCATCTCTCCTCATTGCTCCACTGCCCTCCACAGCTAGGTGAAGGATAGTGGAGGCTCGCTTTTTTTTCCCAGTGAGAAAGGCATCACTGATGCAGGATTCATTCTGACTTGCAATATGCATCAACACTATTCATTAGGGTTCATCTGGGGGGAAGCTACATTTTTTTCTTGCTGGTACTCTCATCCCAGGACACACTGTAGTGTGAAAATCTGGGAGTGAAATAGGTTGTACTCACCTGGGTCTGTAGATCCGTGAGCTTCTCAGGTCGCCACTCCTTTGGTCTGCTGCTTGCAGTGCTAGAAGGGTGAATGGCTTTTTGTAATGTCAATAGATCGGAACTATCGGTGTTGGGCACCTAGAGAAAAAGATGGAGAAGGATTCAACAAGCACACCAACAACCCTGATTACAATAGACAACCACACCCAAGAGGAGACCCAAACTGAAAAGTAAACTGAACTAAACCAAAATTCAAAAAGAGAGAGAGAGAAAAAAAAAAAGACCCACTAAGTAAACCAAAACTCTCCAAATGGTCGTGATGTAAGTGGTGTTAGTGAAATTCTGCTGCCTTCTTAACAATTTTCCCTGCATTAGGAAAAATTAGCAGATGTCATGCAGCTTGGTTAATACCTTAACCCTTAAAGCATTCCCATGCTGTTAGTTTCAGTAGCTAAGAGAGAGCAGTTAAAGTGGGCTGGACCAGAAGCTGCTGTTGTATCTTCATTCCATATTGTAGTTAGGTTATGAACCAGTTCAATAAAACAAAAACAAAATTTCATGCTGGGAATATGATGCAAACTCTGTATTTGATGCTGCCAAAGAAGTCTAGGGGGCTTTCAAGGAGAAACAAGTGGGAAGGTATGGTTTGAATCATAGTCCCAAACCACTGCCCAGTAATCTGGCATTGTACACTTAGAAACTACTGGAAATTTATGCCACGAATTCCATATGAACGCAGTTGGTCTATTCAAGGACTTTCGTGGACAAAGGAGAGTTGTGCCAAATGCCAAGCAAAAGCCATGGCGTCACACCTAATGACTAGCAAAAGCTAGAGGCAGGTAAGAAAAGAGCAAGTTGTTAACTAGTACAAGCTGCTTTTTTCATGGAGCCTGCTTGCTCAATTAATTTGGTCAATTCGAACTTGGTTTCAAAGAGACAAACTGCCAACCAAATAGTAACAAAGTCCACACAGTGAGCCAAGTACAAAGACATTTGTTGACTGTAAATGTTAATCAGATTCTTTACAGGAATTAAAGGACTTCAAGAATGCCATCTGCCAATAACTGGCTAATCAGTCCATCTAAACCAGCCTTACTAGTTTGTTTAGTAAGCTTATGCGTCAACATCTTTAACTGATACAGAGAACCTAGAATACATACATACATATATATATATAAATATGTAATGTATCAAATAAATGTGTTATATATATATATATCCATATATCTCAGTGAATTTATGGAACTGGCTCAGATACTTAACTAGCACAAAGACAATATGACCCCATGAAAATAAGACATGCTGTTGTTATCAGTAAAACAAGTTTACTGGAGCAGTTGTCAGGGCTACTATTACGTAAAAACGGGTACCATGGGTGAAGTGACTAGAGGAAGTTTTTTCAAAGAAGAACTATGCTTTAAATGATTCTTTGAATTAAAAAGAGGAAAGAGGGATTTCTTGATGCTTGGATTCTCCCCGTTGGTGGAGTCTGTCTGTAATATAAGATACAAATGAGCTAATTGCAAAAAAAAAAAAGTAAAATAAATAGGTGCTTTAATTGAAACTACTAGACCTTGGTAGCCCCCAAATATGATTAAATATTAACACTCATGAAAAGAATCTCTGTTATGCATCTAGAGAGATTATCTGTTATTTTTCACCTGGAAACAATAATGTACGTTTAGACAAGTACAAAACTTTTCAGAGCCTATATACCATGCTTATGAGCAATAGTCCAGGGGTGCCTGGAGATCTTTAGGTATCTGTTTACTTATATTATGTTTACTTAAGAGTTTATTTATTATCCAAAATAAGAGTATTATGAAGAACTATACTTAATGAGTTACTGATGAACTGTAGCCATTTCCTAATTGTTAGGAGTTCAGTAACTAAGAGATTTCACCATACGGATTATTTATTATAAAATAAAATGAACTTTAAGTTCTTTGGAACTTCTCTTTTGGGACGAGGGGTTTCGAGACAGGGTTTCCCTGTGTAGCCTTGGGTGTCCTGGACTTGTTTTGTAGACTAAGCTGGCCTCAAACTCACAGAGATACACCTGCCTCTGCCTGTGCTGGGATTACAGGCATGTACCACCACACCCAGGTTCTTTTGAACTTTGGGTCAATTATCTTGATCTAGTAAACATCACTTGGGAGATTACCACTGTTTTGGGCTACTAAGGTTAATTAAGAGGCCTATTCTACACTGTTAGAAATCTATACCTCATTTAAAACATCTGGCACAATTCAGAATTCCAGGTTTCAAGTAAATACATATAGGTTTTAATCTTCAGGGCTGGTAGGATGGATCAGAGGGGCACTCGGCAACCTGAGTTTTATTCCCAGAACCCACATAAAAGTCAAGGGACAGCCAACTCCACAAAGTTACCCTCTAACCTCTATACACTGTGGCCCTGGACACTCCTCCCCCATTTCATGCACACACAAGATTTTCTTTAAGGTTTAATCTTTATATTGAAGTATCATTTTGAGTTGAGATACTAAGTAAGCTACAATTACAAAGTTGGCAAAGTCACCATATGCTTTGAGGACTTATGTAACTCCAGGGACATACAACTGAAGCCAGATTCCCCAAGGCAGCTTCCAGACTTGCTAGAGTCAAAGCAGGCACCATTACAACAGAAATATTTTTGGCATCTCTTGTCTCTCTTTTGGATTCTTCCATGGTCCAAGAACAAAACTGTATAGAAATGCAGTGAGATCATTTTTTCATTGGTGTGTGGATGAAGACATCTGTATAAGTATCTGGGTTTCCCTGTTTTAATGACAGCTGCCCTGAATGAGAAGCCTTTCACAGGGGAAACCGGATTGAGTCCTTACGACTCTGTGTGACTTTGGACAGGTCAGCACTTGCCTTGCTCGGCAACTAATCTAATAAACTAGATTTAGGATCCGTCGCAGCTATACTATGTTCGTCTGGCTCTAGATTTAAGTTTCTTGGAATCTTATGTAAAAAGTTTTAATACTGTCCATTTTTTTTTTGGTTTGGTCTACTTAGCTTTCTATTTACTGAACGTTAGAAAGTAAAAACAAGTTCCCTCTGGTTACATTTGAATGTTCATTCAAAGAAAGCGGAGTTAAGCTAATGCCAGGCCTTCCTGCCTGAAGTCTGGCACTCTGTATGTAGTACTATTTGGAAATCTGACTCTAGATTCCAAAGGCCTTACTTTTTTCTTAATTCAAAAAGGGAGAGGTGTGAAAAACTTTTGGTTTGTAAAACTGAAGTCATTATGAAGTTAGTATAAATATTTAATAAAAAGTTTAAGTGAAGTAGATGCTAGAGAATAGTAATTTTTCTATTACCCTCACCTATACTATTTAAATATCTAAAATTTGAACCAAGTCTAGAAAAATCAAGTTAGGTAAAATGTATATACTTTGCGTAGCCACAGTCAGGCAAGGGCTTTAGGCTTAATGTTGGCCTAAGTCAGAAAAGTATTATAATCTAAATTTACATACAAGACAGCCTCAGTTCTTCTACTCTAACTATTTTCTATAACTTAATCAGATCAAAGGGTTATGGTCATGTACAACAAAATTTGTAACAGTGTCCAGGAAGAGGTGTCTGAAGGGTAATGCATATGATAGCTAATATATTCTACAGACAATGGGCAGAGTTTTATTTTTTAGCATGTAAAGCATTTTAAACATCCTGAGGCAAAGTCAAGCCTATTTCTTCATTTCTTAATCCAGTTTCAGCAACAAATGTAGTTGAGTGGTATTTTGATCTTGACATTTCCATCTAGGCAAGTTTCGTTAAGAGTTACAGGTACCCTTTTCCACCCCCACGAACATTTCAGAAATACCATGCAACTATTCAAATGAAGTGGTAAAACAGACAGACACCACACACACACACACACACACACACACACACACACACACACACACAC